TGTACTAGTGAATTTTCAAAATAATTTTGAGTGTGTACATGTAGTGCATATGTAGTATACCCAACGGGGACATTACTGATTATTGTATGAAGTAGATCATACGTATACATGTTAATATCTAATCGTAATTATAATAATTATTGTCCAAATGCATAATGTACTTTTACAAAAAAAATTAATATTTTATGTTAACGCATTTAAAAACCGTAAATAATTAAGTTTTAAGACCGGATTAAAAAAATATAATATATACGTGTGATATTATTCATTTATGTACTGTAAAAGCACTTAAACAGAACGATATGACATTTTATATTATTCAGGTCTAGATTTTGTATTATAATTAGATGTGTACGAAACGACCACGAAAACATTTCAAAATATAAATAATTTTATACTTATTGTGTATACATTATATTCACGGAAATTTAAGGAAACATTCATTAGATCTTTGTTCCTTGGTGGTGTTATGATTTAAAATATAATATTTACAACTCATAAATAAGATATTGCGGAGTCTCCAGGGAACCATATAATGTAATATTGAAACCTATTTTCAGAATAAGCTCACCGCGGCCCTGATAATTCATTAAAATATCATTATTTGATTTAACCACGGTATTAATTCAAAAACCAGTGTCACCCGTTACAATTGTAATGGAAATCTAGGTCAAATGTCAAACGAATGTGAACTTTAACGACCCGATCTAAATAGTACATACATTCTATACGATTTGATGGTATTACACGAATAACTATAGTCTATTTTAACTAGAACATGAATGTATCGATTCATTTCAAAATTAAATAGTACTATGATGAATTGCAGTATTTTATTATGTATCGTTACCTACAGTACACATGATTGAGTAGAAAATTTAAAAGTATGTTGTTGTTTTTTTTTTTTCGTACACGAACGAATAAGTTTAAAAGCTATTGTTTTATTACGAATAAACTTGAACTATGTACAATGTCATAATAATATATTACCAAATAATTAAAAAATTTATAAATTATTAGTATGGCTACAGTTTATTTAATTACCTAAAAAAAAAAAAAAACGCGTGATTATTTAGGGAAAATTATAACGGACGATTTATCAAAACGTACAAACGGACGCGGAAAGAAGTTATTAATATTGTTTTGGCTTCCAGATGCACATGTGTACAACTATAAAGGGAACAAACGAATAACTGTGTGTTACAAAAAAGTATTGCAACCAACAACGCCAAAATAAATAAAAACACACAAAACTTGTCTTTATTTCTAATGTATAATTGTAGTTTTTTTTTTCGCTTGTTTCGTGTATTCGAAAGTAATATTTTCTAAAACTCGAACGAATAGTCGCGTACGTTTATTTGCGATTCTGGGCGCGTGTCGATACGTTATTTAAAAGTAAATACGTTATGATCATAATATAAGCGTATAAATCATGATGAACTATTTTCCTTGTGAAGTATTTAGTTTTTTTCTTACTTTTGTTCAGAGGTTTTTTCCTTTAACCATATTTTTCATACATAACATCATAACGAAAATATTTTATTTTATTTTCGTTGTTCTAAGAAATCAAAACGTTGTTTCCAAACACATAATATCATGATTTCTGCACTACTGTAAATAATATACTTTTACGAGACGTACACACACATATATATATATATATGTGGATTTCGCCTAAACTAGGCACAGGTTAATATTGGCATCAGCATAATGCAGTCAAAGTGGTCTGGTCCCAAATCTAATGTCTACTAACAAGGTTAAAAAAAATCATATAATATGGGCACTCGGTTCGGTTTATGTAATTTACGTTTTATCATAGCGTTAGAATATGAATAACTAATACAATTGGGTTTCCTCGTATCTATAAGATTGTGTTTATTATGAGTAAAGCTGGGGTTTCGATGCACTTGGCATATTTTTCTGAAGAATTCTGTACGATACTCGTTTTGTTACAACTATGTTATAGGTATTTTTAAATTAGAATAAAAAAATGTACTTTGCATTTTTTTACATTTAATAATAATTTTTTATTTTAATGTCGATTTTCTCGTTTATTAAGGCATTTTAGAGGTTTTTAAGTCATTTTTGATGTTTTTGAATTTAAAATTATAGATTATAAATTTTTCTACCGACGGATTATTGTTGTTGTGTAAGGTATGCAATGTAAAAGTTGCTGTATATGTATTTTTGAACTACAATTGAAAAACATTTTACCATACAACAACAAATATCAAGAGACAAACATATAAATGGTGTACAGCGAAGAGAACAAGTTGAAGAACAAGAAAAAAATATGTATATCTACAAAAACTTATTGGGGAAAAATAGGAGGCTCGCTCTCGTGATTTAATAAAACAATAAAGAATAATTTTTTATATATTAATTTTTGAAGTTAAAATATTTAGGTACATGTAATATATATTTTTTTTTCAAGGCATTTTTTTGAGTTTTTTAAATCATTTTTGCATTTTTTTAAAGTCATTTTTCGCGATTTTTAAGGACATTAAAATCCAAGCCCATCATGAGTAATAAAAATTATTAACTTTTAGTCTTTAATTGCATTTTGTTAAGAGTAATTCAAAAATGAAAGCCACAAGTTAATTGTTTTATTATTTTTTATTTATATATTTATAATATAAATATATAAATAAAAAATAATAAAAAACAACGACATAAATATATATTTATTTATTTTTTATTTTTATGATTTCCCTAACTCAATAACAATTATTTCAGTTTTAGCGTGAATTTCAACGCAATCGTAAACGTTTTCGAATATGCCTCAAAATGAACATTCCTTCAAGGAAACCGAGATCCTTGACAAAGTAATGTATCTTTCTCCAAGCGCTTGATCGCTAAAAAAAACTATGCATTCGAGATTATATAACTTAATATTATTTTGCATATATTTTGTATGTATTTAATTATTAATTTAATTTAACATTTTTTTTTCGTCAATTTTACGGTTTACGTTTTGCAAAATAAAAACTTTTCGACATTAAAAATTTTGATGTGTTTGAACTAAGTTCGGTTAATATGGCCAACCGATTGACGTGGGTAAATGGGTTTGGTCTCGAAGCGACTAAATTAAGGGGAATCCACTGTATCTGTGCCGATAAACTTTCACCCTCAAAATCAATTCAACAACTAAACGATTTACGAGCTCCTATTCGGTGTTCCAGGCTGACGGATATTAAAGGACTTGCTCTTCGCACACGTGCGCGCGTATGCAATATATACAAGCGAACACGATGACCTTTGGTAAAAGTATCATATAATATTGGCCACAACCGCGTACCTCGGATTTAATATTCCTTTTTGTATGCAGTATGCACACAGGGTTTTTCCTCGATTTCTTACTAGAACGATGTCATCAACTATTATACGTGAAGATATCGTGCACAAATGTTTATGTAGCTAAACGGGAAAAGTGAAAAGGCGAGAAAAAAATCCAGGGCCGGGGGTCGAAATAAAAGAGAAAACATTATTTTTATGAACGACTACCGTATGAGGAAGCATTCAAATTAACCGCCGTATAATATTATTACGCATGATACGTTCGTGCGATGTACAAAATAGACCTTCCCTCCCATCATAAAAATGTCTCAGGTGCCGATACATTGTCGTAATTAATGTCGACATTTTGATACAGTAATTTTTTTCTAGTTTTCTGGTTTTTCTCAGGTCTTTTGCTCCAAGTTTGACGATCAGAAGAAAGTACGTGAGCAAAATTATATAATATTACTTAATTGTATAATAACTATCAAAACATATCGATTTACATGATTCTCATACTGATCAATATAACCCGAATGAATTATATTTTCTGTTTCAGCTCTATAGATTGTGATATGTTTACTAGATAGTCTATAAAGTAATAATTTTCTTTGTGCCAATGATATTTTATCGTTTCTAACAAATAGGTAAGAACGAATTCTGAAAATAAATATTGCGCGAGTAAACTAGAACCAGAACTACTATTATATTTTTAACTCAAACTTAAACACACTGCGTATACAAACAATTAACTTTTGAACTTTCTGATCCTTCAATTTTTACAAGTAAAGTATGTAGAACTCCGATTATCCGAATGTCAATCAGCCGGACGTCCAATTATCTGGACGAGAAAAAAAAGTTTGGTCTATTACTAACTAGTAAATCGAACTTCCGATATATGCTTGTTGAAGCATGGAAATGTACGCAAAATTTCACTTTGTAAAGGCAATAAAAAACGTTACTGGAGCAACCTGAAGACACCCAAAACTTGGAATTAAATGTTGAAATAGCTGAAATACGGGAGTGTATAAGCCAAGATCACGTATTTGGGGATTGTGATGAAGCGAATTAAAATTAAAATAAATATAAATTCAATTTAATTTAAATGAGTGGTTGCTTATGAACACAATTGGTCCTGGATATTAAATACTTTCAGATGACGAAATAGTTTGTAGCCTATATAAAGAAGATGAAAATGAAACTAACGATTAGACTGATGGTGAAAATTACCTGTCTTATTCTGAAACTTTTGATGCATTAGATTTGGCGTTCAAATGGTTCGTGAGGCAAGAATAATCGAGTACTTACCACTTATTGCATTTAAGGAGATTGATAGACAAAGCTGCTCTGAAGAAAAAGACAACTACGAAATTAACTAATATATTATAAATTTTCAAAATAAAATAAAAAATGTACCAAAAATGTGTAAAAAAAGTTAACATTTTTTTTTTAAAAAATATAAGTTATTGTATTTATAGCTTATTTTTTGTTTAGATATATACATTATAATAAAATTATTTTTTTACTGTTAGAAATTTTAAATAATATTACACATAAATAATAAATACATATGTACAATATATTCATAAGGTTATATAACTTTTGATATGCCATATGTCAATCATCCGGATATTTGCTTATAAAATCACTCTTGACATTAATTAGTTCGGATAATCCGAGTTCTATTGTGCCTATACAATATTTCATAAATGATGATGCCTTACCGTCTTTCCGGTAGTAGAGTATCTCGAAATGCCTTTCGATGCCCGCGGCCAGCGCTTCTTTTACCACGGAAACGGCGTGCTGCGAAGTCATCGGTCCCTGTAGAAATTCGCATATTGCCGGGCACTGCATCACCTCGGCTCGGCTGTAACCCGTCATGTGGCAGAAACCGTCTGAGCAGTAGATTATGTTACAGCCGGCTTGCTGAGCATTGGCTACCAAAAAACTACGGTCTAGAAAAAAAAAAGAAACAAGGTATATTATTAAGTTGTGTGTCACTTGTTTTTTATGAGTGCGCGTGTACGTGTACTCGTGTGTGTGTGTATGTGTTATGTGTGTACGTATATGTGCGGGTGTGAGTGTGTGTGTGTGTGTGTGTGTGTATTTGTTAAAGTGATATCCATACCTAGATTACAACTTTTGAAATTACTTTTTTATTACTTGTAAAAATACCTAGCAGCTTAACTATATGTACGTGTGTAATATATTATAAGCTTAAGCGTGAATTAAATAATTGTTTAAAAGCGCAACGATTAAATATGGTTCAGTAAAAGTTTTGTTTTCCAACAAAACGCCGGTCGAGCAATTTCAATACAATTTTAACTATATTATAATATTTTTCAGGCAGCTATTATATTGTTATAATAATAATATATCATTAAAAATTTATATTTTATTAAAAACCATACGGTAAATTACCTGAACGTAACATTCAATGTTGTACTATATTGTTTTCAATATGATAAATGAAAACGATAAACGATGTGAACATTATTTTTAAATTCAATAAAATACAATTGTTTTTCAATTAAAATATGTTATACATTTGCATTGTACAAAGGAATACTAAAAATACATAAATCATAAATTAAGCTAGACATTAATGAGACTAAATATTATTTCATAAATACCAGTTTTAATAGCGAGAGCTTCGAATTCCCTGTATAATGCTTTGTGCGTGGTACCGTTTTTTTTCCCCTCGTCATTTACACTTACACTTATGATTAAAACGTTTTGTAAAACGTTTTGAGTAGCAACAAGGTAAAACGAAATTCAGACTTTTTTATGTTATTTTTAACATAATAAACTGTCTGTATACTATGTACAATAAAAATAATTTGTAATGACATAAGTTGTAGTGACACATCGTATTAATAATATATAATCAAAGATCCCGTCAAAACGTCTATGTTGCATAATAATATGTTAAATTATATTTGTTGTAAATTACTTTCTTTTTTTTTTTATATTATGAACTGAAAAATATTTTTAGAAAAATTTTTGCATCGTACATATTGTACACAATTTAATCATTATGTTATTATTATAATTTATGTTGTAATTACCTGTTTTCATTTATCTTCTAAACGTGATTATAAAAAATTTCCACATTTATACATATCACGTCACTACTAGGGTCGGTTTTCTATTTATTTTCTAAAGAGTAAGAAAATTATTTATTTCTCTTTTCAATATGTATGTATATAATGGCAAATGTAAAGTATTAATTTACTTGGCTGCTGATCTATAAGTACAAGAAACTGTTCTTAAAAATAAAATAAAAACATTTTAATACGTATATTTTACAATGACATCATTTTCTATCTTCATCGTCACTGCTGGTCGCGAGAAATGACGACAGAGATTTTTTAACACGGCGGTCGAGTGGAATGTTATAGAAAGCGACGGAAATAAATCGAGGAAGAACGACAGTCAATTTTGCAGTATTTTTATTTCCTCCGTGAGTTCTACCTAAGTCGAACTCACCGCAGCAATTTGGCGGAGTTTATTTTTTTTCGCGACTCATTACCGTAATAAATTTAGACACCAGACACGAGCCACCAAAGTACATCTAATTTCGTCGTTTTCTTCATTAGCAGTATGTTTTTTTTCGGATCCAATACAATGTAATTTTAATTATTTTTCAATGTCAACATTTTCATCCAGACCGTTATTCTTTAAATACGTATTTTTATCGATACTATGATATATTATATAAATATATCTCAAGGACGCTTAGAGAGAGAAAGTGGAGGGGGGAATTGACCCCCTTAGATTGTTCATGTCAGTTATAAAATAAAAAGTTTTTTAACATAAATCTGGACCCAACTCCAATCGGATACTAAGCGACTATTCAACCATTCCCCCTTGAGTTATGGCCTTATTTCTGCGGGCGTCCGATATATATTTATATATTACAAAATAACTACAACATAATTATATTTTTTTTTTATTAGCGTATCTCATGGTGACAATTATTATCAAGAAATTAGAAAGAAGTTGAATAATTTCAATAATTACCTATAATAAGTACACCACTTTAACGGTACATTAATAACTGAATTATTGGCAAACAATACTACACAAACAATGTTGAGGGGTGATAAGAGATGGAAAAAAGGACGAATAAGGTTTCCACATAAATACGCACGAACAGTACATATAAATGTAAACGCACTAACCATCATTTTTATTGTGCGTGTGTTAAAAGTACTTATAACTCCTTCGGGTTGGGAAACCCGCGAAGTTCCCGTGCATCAATTGACCGTATCGAGTAAAGAATTAAATAACCTGTAAGTACATAGTAAATCTCGCGATTAAAAGTTAAAACCAAATACTATAAAGTTTGTAGGAATGAAATTCATAAAGATTTGATTTTCACTACTAGTCAAAATTTGGGATAAAATCGAACGAAAATAAAAATATGGTGTCCGGTTTTACACAAAAGTGTATGATTTCGGTTTTATACCGCAAAAGATATTGAATACGTATTTTGGGATGTTCGCCGTCCACCCAAAGTAATTTCTTATACCTTATTATACGTATATATATATATATATATATGAAATAAACCGAATCCAAAAATAAAATAAAATAATAAAATAATAAGATCCACTTACATTAGTGTATCAATTTCGATCTGCTGAAGATTCAACAAAAATAATATTAATGTAATTGGTAACGTTTCTATATTTTATATTGTCATTCGTGTTGTGTTCAGATGATATGCTATGTACCTAGTGTACGTCCAATCACGGAAAGTAGACATATCGCATGCGATTTTATTAAGTTCTGCGATTTACCTAGTTATGTAAATTGATATCATGATAAGTACGTATTATATTGATAGTCATCTTTTATCGAGATAATCTTTTTAAAATTTATCTAAAATCCGTATACAGAATGACGACTGTTGTAGATGTGTATATCTCTTACAATTTTTCAGCTTTCGTTTAGTATCAGAACTTCAAAAACTTAGTGATTGAAAAATGGTTAATATTATGAAGATTGTTTGAAATAAATAAGCGTCTTATAAATTGTACACTTGAATATCTAAACATTTTAATATATCTATCAAGTTCAAAATTTTTCTTTCGGACATAATAATTAAAAAATACTGATCAAACCAAAAATCTTAGATCGTCAAATTTTATAAAAAAAAAAAAAAAATAATGCTCAAAAAATATGTTAACAAAACGTTTTTTGAATAAAGCTTTTTATATTTAACAATACTGATTTGCGTTTCATATAAACTTAACTTAACGATTTATAAACGATCAAAATTATTAAAAACTCTTAAAGCATTGAAATCAATTATTTATTTATTTTAATTTTTATTATTATTTATTTTACTATTTAAATTAAACTCTTGGTAATTGTATTTAGGCTATTCGATAATCAAAACAATAAAACACCGAATTAATTTGAAAATATATTTTAATTTCGAATCACAATTATTTAGGACAACTACATTGGACTCGAACTCTTTTGTTAACCACATTATGATTGAGGAAATTTGTATAAACAACAAAGCCATTCATATTAACGAACACAATAACATAAACAATTTAAAACTGAATAACGTTATAACAGTTATGAACTCAGGTATTTGAGTGATTGAACGATTAAACATAACAAATAATGAATAAACCCTCACCCAATAGATAAAACACAATTTACTCGTGGATATAACATACTAAGTGTCTTTAAAAAAAAATTTCTACTCGACGTATTATTTTCTCGTACTATTAATAATTATTTATTTGTTACCACTCTGTGAGAATTATTTGAAAACAACCACTACAATAACTAGTATCGTTATCTGTTCAATATTTCTCTCGGTCTAAAAATCGTATTTCCCATGCAACGCTATGGTTGATAATAATTATAAAATTTGATAGGCCGTTATTACAGTTAAATTAGTTTGTATGAAATTATAGTTGGATGAATATGATTTTTTCTTTGTAGATGTATCGCAAGTATTAAGGACGGAGATAATCCATCACATGGATTTTTAAGTCCAAAACAACTTCGAACATTTGTAATATTGTTAGCGTTGAATATTGATTTTACGTCGTACGCGAAAGCAGGTTTACCTTTGGACATATTTTTGGCAAAAGATTGAGTCCGTTGTTGATATAGCGTTTCGGTTGATCGACTTACAAAAAAAAAAATCGCCTCCGATGTTCTCTAAAATGCTTGGTTCCTCAATTGTTCTCAAAAACATATTTACCCGTGTCAAGAACACCAGTTGAATGAAACAAACGAATTGTTGTAGCCAACACAATTGAATACAAACATTTTATAGAAAATATTAATTGCTTATCGCGGAGTATAATAATAGTTAAAAATCAACGCGATTCTTCAATATAATTTTTAGAGTCAAATAAACGATTTCGGATTAAAAAAATTATAAATAAAATAAAACTATAGAAAATAGTTACTAAAATATTGCGTACGGGTAGATTACGTGGCACCATCATCGATACCTCTGCATTTTCTAGTACAATACACTACTCGAGTACAGCTACGCGTCATTTTATATAGAATTTCTATTGGCATTTCATAAATTTTTAAGCCAAGGGTTTTATTTTGCTACGTGTTACAGTTTATCTACTCATTAAAAACGTAACGTAGAAACTCAGGATTCAGGAAACCAACTCGGACTAAAACTGTGGTATTAAACATTTACCAAATCTTATGTACAACTATTTGAATCGAAAGTGTAGTGTGCACCTATACAATATTTAGGTTGATTCGTGTAACGGCCTTGAAAACTCGATACGTTTATCAAACTTGTGTCATTATATGATAATTAATTAAGATGAAATTGTTTCCTTAAAATAAAAATAAATAAATAAAACTAACAAAAATAAGATTTGTATACATTTTCAAAATGTTATAGTGACTTCTGCTATATGAATTAACATTAAACCAAATATTAGAAACCTGG